CTCAAGCTGCTTCGTTCAGTTACGTATTGCGCTGATTTTATAGCGCAGCGGGTAAAGAACACTGTGCCGTAGTTCTGCTTTCAGCCGACAGAGCGGTTGCCGGAGTAGTGTTTCCAGAACTACGGATTAATCCGTTGATTTACGGATTTTGGGTACAATACGTTAATACAGTTTTCTATCGTTAAAAATAATTTAATATATTGTAGGCTAAACAAAAGGGCAGATCAGTTATATCGCTGTTATTTCACATGTAAAATATTATGGTAAATGTCAATAACCATCATCTCCAAGCCAACTAAACGACTTTTTTCGATCATACGAAATATTCAGTACCTATAAAATAATTTTAATTTTTGTTGTTTATTCTACATGGTTTGAGTGAAGGCAGATGCCGAATTCGGCCTATGTCCGAAATAATTAGACATATGGCGATTATAATTAAATATACCTACCCATGGTACAAAGAAAACAAGGTATGATCGATAGCGGCTCCAATTTCGTTAAGTTTGCGCATACCACCTGTGACATCATACGCCATACAAAAAAATATCCATATTGTTCAATTGCCACTAATAAAAAAAGACCTAAAATAGGGAAGAATTAGGACATAACCCCAAAAGTTATGTCAAATCATCGATCTTGACATTTGAAAAATTATTTTCACATTTATTGTGTCATCTGTTTGACAATTTGAAATTGGCGCGCGGAGCTTGTCGACCAATGGTGCCGTTTATCACCTGTGACGTAGTGACCAACCTGCGCAATATCATACCTTGTATTCTTTGTATCATGATACCTACCTATATCCACAAAGTTACGCGGAAGAGTTTTGATTGCATTGGTTTCAACTTCTATGCGGAGGGTGTTAATCTTTTGTTGTTAAATTATACCAAAAAAAGATTAACCCCCTCCGCAAAGAAGTTATATAAAGACTATTAATAACCTCGAAGTTGCACGCATCTTCGATATTACGATATTACACATTTTAATATGGCAACACTGTCATCTTCAGTTCCACACCGTCTTCGATATGCCTTCGCTGGACGAATTAGAGAAAATAAGTGTTTTATGCCTTGGCCGCAGAACGATTGCTGGCTCCACTGTACAACAGTGGGAAGTCAGTAAGGGGAAATCAAATCAGCTTTGTCACGAATTCGTCCATTAGGTTGTATATCTTTCCAATTCTTTCAATCAACGATAGAACGTTTCCAGACCCACAAATCTATTTCCAAAATGCTTTTTTTTTCGAATTTTATACTACACCATTTAAAAATCATATTTATTATAATTTTTGTCCAAGTACTTTTAGTGATTCTAATGAAATTTTGAGGGTAAATGTTACTATATAAGTGCTACATATTTTAATTATAAAAAAGTGTCGAGAAATTCATCAGGGACGTGCATATGGGTAATCACTGGAATATTTTTCAAAAAAAACATGTGGGCCACTTTGGGACTTTTAATATCCAAATTGTGGAAGCCGTTTAATGCCAATTAAAAGTTGTATCTTGATATTTTGTCGATTTCGATCTCCTTGATGAGATAAACGCAATTTTACTAATCACAATTACTAAATGATATATTTTACCTAATTTATTATTAAATATTATTACTATTAGTTAATAGTAATAATAAGATTGTACTAATGTCCAATCTACAGCAATTTCAAATAAAAAAATAATGGTATTTAGAATAATTACAAAAAAAAACTAATTTTAAAAAGTTTTAACATCCAGTAACTCTAAAACTATGCATTTCCATACCCATATTTATAGGATTTTTTTTCATATTTTTTGATGGGGAATCAATGAGTACTTTAAAACTTTCGCCAAGTGAATGTTATTAAAAAAAAGTAAAGATTGCTATTAAGGCGGATTCCCACTATTCGTATATTTGGCAAGTACGGAAATATTTGCGTACTTGGCCAGTGAAACCAAACGTTCGAATTTAAATGACAAGTACGACGCTCCCACTACTCCTTTATTTGGCAAATACGCCAATAGTTGTGTACTTGGCAAGTACAACAGTTTCAAAACCTCTCGGCCTTCTCTCGAGTCTCGATCAGTGCTTATTCTGTTTCGAGCATGGATAATCGCGTTGTCGCTGCAGCAGCGTTTGTGGTATTGAGTGGCTGCTATAGAAGAATTAAAGCTTCTCAAGCTAATATTTTATTTCTGATGCGAAGCCAGGCGTCATTAATCAAGTTTCTGTTTTTATGTTGTAAATGCCTAGGTTGCCATATAACTGACTCATTTTCATACAGATCCAGAAATTCAAAAACAACTTCTTGCGACAACAATTTCGAAAAAAACTCGCACCACGCACACGCGACGGAAGTCTAAAACAGAATAATTGCAAAAATTAATTGTGGTCAAGTTGGCAAGTAGTGGGAGCGCATCGACAAGTATGCACTTGTCAAATTCACAAATAATTGAAATCCCAAATACATCCCAAATATAGGCAAGTGACAAATATTTGCCAAATATACGAGTAGTGGGCCGGCTTTAGACTTGGATCAAGGCAAATTCATAAAATTGCGTTTATCTCATCAAGGAGGTCGAAATCGACAAAATATCAAGAGACGACTTTTAATCAGCATTAAACTGCTTACACTATTTCGCTAACATGAGAAAAAAGTCAGTTTCGTACATGCTTTTTTAGAAAAAATATTCCAGTGCTAACCCATATGCACGTCCCTGGTGAATATTATGTTGACATTTTTTTTAGCTTTAAAATATGTCGTAATTATAGTAACTTTTGCTCTCAAAATTCATTCGAGACGCTAAAAATACTTGGAAGAAAATTATAATAAATCAAAACATTAAAATTTTGACACCCTGTAGCTATAAAACAAAGCAGAATCGGACCTATGTCGATATGAAAAATAAATTTTTATTTTTAAGTAAATAATCTCCCCACGAGAGATGGCACATGTTTTTTGAAACACCCTGTATAATTATTTGTGACTTACCTCCCAACGTTTCCAACTCCGTGTTTTTAGTTAAGTCGTCATCTTCCTCATTAATAATACTGTTCACCAGATCAGGGTCCAACAGATCGCCGGACAAAGCCAAAACATCTTTCAAATCTTCAGTGTTGTCATCGTCATCATCCTTTGTAGCATTGGATTTCTCGTCCTTATCCAAATCTAACATCTCGTGACTTTTGTGACCCGATGACTCGCTGTGTTTTTCCGACTTCACGTCCACTGACATGTACTCATCCTATAATAAAATATTATTAAAAATAATATACAGAATAACAGTGACAGATATTTTACCGTAGACAACTTCATTCCGTGATATTTCTCGTCTTTTTCGTCGTCACTACTGCCGCTGTGAATTTTTTTAGTGTCGGTAATGTCCATTAGGTCTTTGCCAAAAAAGGCCTCTTGCAGGTATGGTGGGAAAGTCTCCGAAAGTTTACTTTTAATTTTTCTTCGGATTTGTTTTCTTCTTGGCTTCTCTGCATCGCCACTCGGTGGCGTTGTTATAGCTGTTGGTAGTGGGGTCATTGGCGATTCCATTCCTATAAAAATTATATTTATTATTAGAAAAAAGTATTTAGTACTTATACTTATGAGGACGGCATGATGTTTATAATAAAAATGTTTGGATAACTAAGTTGAATCAGTCTTATAAGGTGGATTTTCATGCATCCGTGATCCTATGGCACGATCATTCGACTGCGCTCTGATTGGTCGTAGTGTTTTTGCGGCAGTTTCATCCGAAAATTTTTAACTGCCGTCCGTCAACGGGAAAATTAAATTAAATTTGACTTTCCTCGTTGACGGGGAAATTTAACCTCTAACTGTAACTGTTAGATATAATAGTATACTGGGGATTCCCCCAGTATATTATATCTCTTTACAAATATTTAGCAATGATTTGTCGTCTTAATTTGCAAATTGCAGTATGTCAACACTACATACTGAAATTTGCAAATTAAGTGGACTGACAAATCATTGCTAAATATTTGTAAAAAAATTTTCTCTTATTCTTGTTCTATGTTCTCAAAATTCTATTTTTTCTCGGGAATGCTTAGAACGAAAAAAATCAGATAAAAAATTAAAAATGTCACTGATTCCCTTTTCCAACCTATTTTCTCTACGGCAATTATAAATTCTCGACATTTACTCGTTTATTCTAGTTCATTATCGAGGAACGTTCTCCAGAAATAAATTCTCAAGCAATTTACAACACTCTAGGTATATCTAGAATAGGGTCCAAAGCTGTATTAAAGATTTGATTACAGATTGGCAAACTGTATCTGTTTGTATATAATTTTAACCAACAATAATTGATATAACTTAGTAATACTATTTTATTGCCTAAATTTTATTCACTTAGAGGTTTTTTTGGTAAAAATTTTATTCATTTTAGAGGTTTTGAGGAAATTGATCGGCCACAAATGTTTAGACATTATTTAAAAAAAAATTAAGGTATTGGTCCAACTAAAAATATACAAAACATATTTTTTGCTTTATTTCCGGAATTATAATGAAACATAGTTTCACCTCAAGTGTAAAACTGACAATAATAAGTAATAACATATAAAAAGTGCCTTTTTACAAATATTAACAAACAAGAACCTAACTTGTTCAACGCGTCGGATAACAGGTTTTTCATTAACATGGAAGTATACATAAATATACTTACCACTGATTGAATTTGTTTGTCCAGGTAACATATCGATATCGTCATTATCCTGACCGTCCGCAATCCACGCATTCTAACCAGAAAGCCGCCGATACCCAATTTTTGCAGGTTCCTTTGCCTCTTTCTCCTGAGAACCGATATTCCGCTCTCCAATGTAAAAATAGTAAAACCCTCGGGCGGAGGCCCGTCCTCCTTCGTCCAAATCATACCTTCTTTATAAATTTCTTGCGGCTCGTCTTTCAAATCAACCAATTCCAACTTGGTATCTTCCAGAGTGTTTTCGCCTGGAAATCCTAAACAACATTAAAGTAATAATTAGATTTAACTGTAGAAACAAAAATCTGAAAAAAATAATACATTTAAAAGGTATATGTTGTGCAATATTACAGTAGAACTTCTCTCAGACATTTTTTCTTGGTTTGATGCTTTAAGAACTTTCTTTTCTTAGTTGAAGAATTAAAACTGTTTTAAGTCTGGGACTACCCTAAGAAGTGTCCTAAAAGCTAGTGATGGGATAACTCGAGCGAAAATTCGCTCGAGTACTCGATTATAGGGGATGGCGTAAAAAATCCTAATGTGAATTGAATTAAATTAAACATTTTTATAAATTGATAACTCTTGTGAGGAAGGGTGAAGGGAAAAGAGACAGATGAAGCAGAAAAACAAACTAATTTTATTGGAAATTAAAACAAAATTGTAATTTTGACAGTTAATGTTTTTTTTAGAACATTAGAACGTTATAGCACAAGCATCACGAAGGAGAAGCAGGAAACATACAAAGGTAAATATATTTTAAAACTTATATTATGTGCAGTGACTTTCTAACATAATTAATTCTTTTCAGAATCAAGGTCCGTCATATACTTTGCGGTTTAAAATCAAAAGTTGCAGTTTCGCTGTGACCGAAAACAGTGAACGAACGCAGTGACCGAAAACAATTGAATATGTCAATCAATCCTAATTTATGTCATATACTAACATACCAAATCTCATTGTTTTATCTGAAAAAAAAAAGTTATAAGGGTGATCCACTTTTGAGACGCACCCGGTATATTTATCCGTTGCGTATCTGAGAGACAAAATTTTACGACCTACATCGACAATGCTTCGAAATAAACTAAATCAGGCGATCAAGCGAATCGCTCAATCGCTCGCCGCTTACTACTTGCCGTTCATTACCGAAAGAATATGTGACCTGCGCACGCAGCTTACTGCTTGGCGTTAACGAGTACTTACAACATGCGACGGACAAAAATCCCGTATTTTAAATACGAGCGATATTTCGCTCGAGTGATCACTCGGTTATTGCAATCGCTTGATACTCGAGTACTCGATTATTGAAATTATCGGTTTTTCCCATCACTACTAAAAGCAAAACCTGAATCATCAAACCAAGAAAAAGAGTGCATCTACCAGGTACCTTGCGAGTGCGGTGAGTCATATATTGGAGAGACAAACGTCCTCTACATGTACGACTTGATTGAACATAAAAAACATACGCAAAAAGGTGAAACAATGACGTCGGGCATTGCAGATTATGGTGGTCCAAGCACCACCACATAAAATGGTTGGAAGCCCGGGTTGTCTACAAAGAACCCTATTGAAAAAAACCGCAAATTTAAAGGGGCCGTATTTATTTCTAACTATAATAAAATCTTTAGCAATCCAAGTATGGAACTTTCAACAATATGGCAACCACTCATAAAACGCTCCAACCTAACGAACTAATTCACAGGTGAGTACTCGCCTCTAGCAGAGAAGAACAAACGTAGAGAAGCGACAAAACGAATCCCGCCAAAAAATTTGGAGTGGGAGGTAAACATGCTAACTGTCATCTCAACGTGTTTTCGGAATACGGCCAGCGTTGCCATTGTTAATGATAAGTCTTGAAATCTTACTATTTTTTATTTGTGTAAATAATCTTTTTTGAATTAATTAATCTATATTTTATCCTTACCTTATAATAGTACTTAAAGAAAGAAACTAACTTTCAGGACTAAATATTATTAAAACTTAAAATAGATGCAGGTTTTTAGCGTTTCATTACTAAAAACTGCCTTTTGCAAAATTAATAAATTGCCCCCTTGTGAAAAGGGGGTTTAAATTAAAAGCGAAATGGATAAATGAATTAGAAAAAATATTTACTTAATTCTAATTTTGAGAATATTAGTGCTGGGCCATCAATTTCACAAAAACTGTATAGTCTAATGAACAAAGAACATTTGGAACACGCATGTCCTCAATTTCCAAAAGACTGTGCTCTAAAACTCTTTATCAGGCTGAAAATATTCTATACTATAAAATATACGAATGGGGACCTCAAAATAAAACAAAAAGATAAGAAAACTATTAGAAAATTAAATATTTTATCGCATATATTATAATTTAATAGCGGCGCTAATTTGAGTTGTGTTATCTTTAAATGTAATATGGTTTTTTATGTAAAATATGATTTTTTAATATATAGAGTGAGTCTTAAATAAGTGCAAATATTTTCAGGGCTGGTAGACCTCGATAAATGAAGCATATTTTCTCTTTACCGTTTTTCAAACAAGTCCAGAATAACCGAGATACTTTGAAAATTAAAAAACAATTTTGGTTACATTTTTAGAACCGCTGAATCTTTTCTGAGTTTTCTTTCTTGTAAATTTAATCTACCACCTCTGTTCTCATATTATAAACATATTATGTTTTTTAATCATCTGCTGATGCACTGATGTAAAGTGTTTTAGTGTATTGTGGTGAATTAGTGTTTTATTTTGCTGTTTTAATACCCCAGTTCCTACCCTCAACTGTAATCATGTTATTTACTTTTTTTATTTATTTTATTTCTTTTATTTTAGTTTGGTTTAACGCTTGTGATAACAGCTGATAAATATTCGAATTTTTCTTAAAATTGTTTTACTTAAAAACACACTTTCAAATAATATTAATTTCGAAACGAACAATATTATCAGATACGATTTGAAAATGTTCTAAAAGGCATATGTTAGAAAATGGTTAGAACGCGGTAAATCCACAAATCGCGGAAAACCGTTAAATCTTAAAAATAGTTACTATTCAATATGATTCCTAAATATTTCTAATATACTTTTTCCTGAACACATGTTTTTTCAGTGTACAACTTTTCTTATTTCTTTTGCCTTCATTGAATTTCTCTCAGTGCAGCTATAAACATAAACTACTATAAACATGCTATCTGTCACGTACGCCAATTTGAAGGTCACAAAACTTGGTCCCCCCTACTTCAATAGTGCCGACGGTTTTTGTCGCTTCTCTACGTTTGTTCTTCTCTGCCTCTAGTATATAAGCTCAGTAGTTTTAGGATTAAGTTTAGTTCACACTTGATAACGGTCAGTGATACTTCTAACCGAAACCACAAATTACCTATAACAGATGCGAAAGAAAGCGACTGCATCGGAAACCGCTCGGCAAACCCGACACGCCTATTGAGTGGTGTAAATACACCAGTCGTTTAGTCCGGAAACCTATGTTGTGTCGTATTCGCTTGCTGGAATGACATAGTGCGTGGTTATATGTGTTTCTTTTAAAAAACGCGCGTAGGATTTTTGTTGAACTTTTGAACTGTTATTTCTAAGTTTTGGTAATTTGTATATCTTATTTAAAATGGGATGCAAATGTGTTTATTTATAAGGAAAAAAAAGATATTTATAGTATAAAAAATTAATTTATTTAACAAAATTTAATTAAAAATGTGACAAAATAGTTACCTTTCTATTGGTTCTATCGGACTTTTTTCGACTATATAAATCTTTATTTGTAAACTTTAATACATCAAATATTTTCAATCTAATTAATCATTTAATGATGTAAATAAGAGGAAATTTCTCACATGGGTGGTCAAATTTTATAGTTTTCATTATATCAAACAGCCTCTGAGAAATGTTTTCAACTCAAAATGCCTTTAATTATGTTTGACTACATCATTAAAAAGGGTGTTCAAATACATCAATGTGATATTTGTCTAAAATTTGCAAAAAAATCCGAATCTCTGGATAACTCGAAATTATTTACCCATTTAAAAGCCTTTGATCATGAAAGTGGAAAAATTTGTTCATTTTATTTACAGGCTGGAAAAATTATTTAAATTAAATTTTGATGAGTTTTGCACTGAAGAAAACGTTCAGAGGCTGTTTGATATAATGAAAACTATAGAATTTGACCACCCATGTGAGAAATTTCCTCTTATTTACATCATTAAATTATTTATTAGATTGAAAATATTTTATGCATTAAAGTTTACAAAAAATAAAGATTTATATAGTCGAAAAAAGTCCGATAGAACCAATAGAAATGTAACTATTTTGTCACATCTTTAATTAAATTTTGTTAAATAAATTAATTTTTTATACTATAAATATCTTTTTTTTTCCTAATCTCCTACGAGCTGATATAATATGACGAGCAATCTATTAAATTACTGTGAGATTATACAGAAAAGTCCACAGACTTCGAGACATAGGAAAATCAAGTCCATTTAGCGTGTGTCCAAATTTTGACAAGTTTTCAAAAATGACAGTTTTGTTTAGACTGACGTTTAATTTCACCTGACTTCTCGGTGAATGATTTCTTTTTATGGGGGTACATAAAATCTAAAATTTACGGCCATGAAGAAATTCAAAACTTGGAGCAGTTAAGGCAGAAAATATTTAATGCCTTTGACACTGTCACCCCTGATATGTTATCCAATGTGAGGAGGGGATTTTATGATCGTTTGGGTTATTGTTTAATGCAAGAGGGAGGCACTTTTGAACAATTTTTGTAATTTTTTAAATTTCATTATCCTGTTTTTTTACCGTTTACCCATTACCTACCTTGACGAACATGGGAAAACGAAGGTCCTTTTCAGGACCACAAATATTTTGATTGAGAAAATTGGTAACTTTTTTTTGGATTAAAAAACAAAAGTTGTTAATATAATACCAATTTAAAAGTATTTTAGTAGTTTTAATACACACTATGATATCAAATTTATTATTATTATAATGTACATTATTAATACTATTGTTCATTCGAAATGGCATTAAGGCCCAATTGCAACAATGATTTAAATGTTTCTTAAAGATAAGTAGAGCTTAGAATGAGCTGTATTTATACTTACTTTAATATTCATCTTAAATGAGGGAATTTGACTGATACAATTTTTGAATTTGAAGTTTTTTAATGATACTAACAATTTTAGTTCAATTTTTAATAAAATTTATTTAATATTAATAGAAATCTAAGAGATTTGAAACCTCTTTTAACGATTTATAACATTCTCAAATGAATTACAGGTGCCCTTATTTTCTATGAAAATCACACAGTTTTTTTCATAGTCGCTGCAGTTGCTATAGCTATAAAAAACTAATTTTTAAGGTCTGAAAATTGCGATACACGCTAAATGGACTTGATTTTTGGTATGTCTCGAAGTCTGTGGACCTTTTTGTATGCCTCGATAACATATTGGTGCAGATTATTTTCACCCAAACTATACATTGATGCGGATTGTCTATGAACTCTTTCTGAAGGTCACAGAAACCTGAACGCGTAATTCGGTGTTCTTTCGCATCTGTTGTAGTTAATTTGTGCCGAAACGTTGTGTAAGCAAAAATCAATAAAGACAATGGAAGTCCGAAATACTTTTAGTTTTAATAGTGATCATTGTCTACCACATTCAAAGTAATATAGGCATCTTCTCAGAGAAACTAGACATCCGACGATATTTAAGGCTATCGGATGGCTGTACTCGTAATGTTATACAAGCCGAGGTTTACTATAAACGAAGCGGCCAGTAGGATATATCGTGATATACTCTTATATATCCTCCTCTCCTTATACGCTTGGGCGCTTTATGAAGCATAACCATGCGATCAGTGAGATCAAAAACTGTTATGGACTGCCGAGATGCACTGTCAAGGCGGGGCCACTCTCTGCTGGGTGTCAGGCCCAGCAATGTGGTAGGCAACTAAGAAGCGGTTAGATTCGCCAAAGTGGGGGCCAGGTGAGAGGCCGTGAAAGATGACCCACCACTTGTGAGAATCAACACACCGAAGGAAGCTATAGGAACTACCATCCAGGCCAAGCAGCAAAAGACGTCGCAACACCGACTGCGTATCTTCTGGTTTTCTCTTTTTGCTATCTAGCAAAAAGACAAAACAACTACTAGAGCATAAAAAGAACCTAGAACGTATAATTGTAGGTGTCGCCCCACGGGGGTAAACCTCGTGAAATCAAAGATCTCCGACGACGACTACTGCAGAGAATGCGGAGAGGAAGAAGAAACGATAGAGCACCTGCTGTGCCACTGTCCGGCACTGGAATACCGACGCTTTAAAGCTTTATGGTACAGTTTTTTGGAGGGACTGGAGGAAGTAGCAGAAGCTAACATCAGCGATATCGGGAATTTTACAAAGAGCTGGAAGTGCTTTAACGCAAAGAATGAATGAGAGAAAGGTATGGTACTGAAAAGGTTTGGTACAATAATACGGGGGTATCACAATGGGCCCAAGGCCTCTGTCTGAGGCATCAAACAGGATCCTAAACTAAGCAACCTAACCTACCCTAATATTGGACATTGTAACGATACATATCTCTTAAAGAAACAATTATTATTTTCATGCCTGCATATTGCATATGTATACCGGGTTGGCATTTCTGCCTTTCGGTGCCAATTTTTGTGTGTACAAATAGTACAGCCAATATGGCGCAGTACAAAAAGATGTAAGATAAAGAGAAAAGAGCAAGTATTTTCCCAAGGGCATAAAATATAGGGTCAGATTACGTGGTTATGTAATAAACAGCTTGCATTTTTTTCTCTCCATAGCGATTCACTCCTAGACATGTAAAGGCCGATTCAAGACTTCTCTTGTCAATATGGTATAATTATGTAGGTACAATAATTTTAATTGTTATAATAAAAATGTATCAATTTTGAGTCGGAAATAATAAAAATACAAAATAATAGCATTATATAAAAATATTCAATTAATCTGGATTCCTCACTAATTTGATGGTAGCTTTTCCAATATGTTCGGATTAGCAAAGTTCTACTGTATATATTTCATAATTTTTAAATAATCATCTAAGTATTTAATATTTTTCTAACCTGCATTACCTCCTGCAACTACGGATTCATTTAGCAAAATAAATGTAACTTACTTCCGACAGTGGCTACACTGAACCATTTCCCTATGAGCATGAGATCTATATGCACGCTGACAGATAGGACAACAGCAACCCTTGTTTCTTTGTTGGTAACAAGAATCACAAACAGTGTAGTGCAAGTGCCAGCGAGAGGACAAACCAGCTCCCGGTGTTCTAGACCCGCAGTCACCGCAAACTCGACAACACTAAAATAATACAATGTCAATCAATAGACGTAAAGTTATAATTACTAGAGATGGGCAAAAATCGCAAACTGCGATTCAATCGTAGCCTGTGATTTACTTTCATAGGAAACTGCGACCGCATTTCTTTTCAATTTAGACAACCAATATTACTATAGCTGTGGTTATGATTTTGCTAACTAAGACCGTGATTTAAATTAGCCTTCTATCTGTGAGTTTGAATTTTTAGGAATTGCGATTTGCAATTTTGTTTCGAATGTAATTTTGTTGCGAATGTAATTTTGTGGCGAATGTAATTTTGTTGGGAATGTGTAGGAATTTTGTGGTCTATTGAAGCATTTAGTAGTAAACTGCAATTGAATTTTCTCTCTGATATAATTTATTTATAGAGAAGGTATTATTTTCTAGGTCCAAGATTAATAATATACCAGGTGTTTCTCAAACGTGGTCTACTTCTATAACTTTTTAATTTTTTTCTGACAAAAAAAAGGAAAGTTGGTATGTTAATATATGACATAAATTAGGATCGATTGACGTATCCCATTCCTTTCAATTACTTCCTGTTTCACCGGAAATTAGTACAACTTTTGAGTTTTAAATGACACTATTATTTTTTTACTTTAATACGAATAATTTGGTACCACACACTAGGTATGGTCTCTCTAGTCAAATTGTCGTTATGAACCGCCTGTTACAATTTCCAATTAAACCATATGAGAAAATGTGAAAAGTCAATTATGATATGTCATTCTATTCAGAGTATTATGTTCTATCAAATAAAGTAAATAAAACCGAGTGTGTCATTAAAAAATCGAAAGTTGTAGTTATTTACGGTGAAACAGGATTGAATACAAATCAATTGAATATATGAATCAATCCTGATTTATGTCAGTACCAAATCCCGTTTTTTATCTGAAAAAAATTAAAAAGTTGGCGTGAGCCACCTTAAAATAAATCTTTTAAATTTTTTAGGAATTAAATACAGACTTAGATAATTGAGAACCGTAGAAACAGTAGGCCATGTGTAGTTGCAACAGTTGCAGCATATACATATAAAGTTTTAATACCTATAATATATGTTGCAGATATTAAAAAAAACTTAAAAACTAGACCGCTGATTATTATTAACTCTTTTTATCTGTTAAGCTATAGGTACATACCCAGCCAATTATTTACCTAGTACAATATTTAAATATTAGAATCACAATCGCAGGTTAAAGTCGCAGCGATTTAAAAATCGCATGCTTAGTATCAATTGCGATTGGAGAATCGCAGTTTTGCTCATCTCTAATTATTGCATCAAAAGGCAAATATGTAGTAAATTTTGTATTAGTATATTTTTGATGAGGGGGTAACTGTGATTTTACTGAAGCGGCACCAATGTTGGTTTGGCAACAGTTATTTCCTTGCCTTGAATAATAAAAACACTTTTTGTCATCAAATTGGAATGCAGAGCAAATCGAAATACTTGTTGAAACATCTAAAGCTTCATTCAGAACCTCGCAATTAGTGGAATAAATTAGTGGTTCCAATTACACTTTATACTTTTTAGTTTATGATCACTCACAATGTCTAAAAAAACACAATTAAAATTAATAGAGTATGCTAGCAACAGCTTGGGGTATTCAGTTGTATCACAGATTATACAGATTATAATCTTTGTTTTTTCTTTATTGTTTTTCCTGGTTCCAATTTTCGGAATCGGGCACTAGTTAGGTGACTAGTTTGCGCACATAGCACGCCCACTTATGGCCTCTAAAATTGTGCACAGCGCCTGACCGGCACAGTTATTAGAGAGATATCGGAAAACCGAATAGCGTCATCCAGTATTTACGCGTACCTTATGGTTACGATATGCGCGAGTCAATTTTTAACGCAACACCCGCTAATAACGTTTTACCGCCTGACGTAATTTGCGGATCAATTACACCAAGCGCTCTTTCTAAATAACCTCTGATAACGTTTAAAAATTGCTTAAATGGGCATGTGTTGCGGGTATTTGACAACCGGAGCCGGCCGGCGAGATCTTTTATTTTAAGTTATGTTTGAATTGTTTTGAATTATTGCTTTAGTTTTATTAGGTAATTTGATATTTAAGTAGCTGGAATTAGTTTTAATTAAATAAATATGGCCCAAAATATGTAGATTCCACCTCTTCCAATACTAAAGAACCTATAAAGAGTCTTAGGTTTACAGCAGATGACGACTTAGTCCTTCTAAGAGAATTTGTTGCCTGTTGCCCTAAACCCACTGGCAGACGTTGAACAATAAAGCACTGGAAATAAGCACTTTAGCCCTTTAGTTTTAAAATACCTATTAAACAAAACAATTTCAAAGTTTCACATTCAAAGTTAGGTTAAGTTTAAATAGCGGACGCGACGCGATCAGAATTCTTTCCGATCCGATAACTATAAATGAAGAGAGTTAATACCACCTCACGAAAGGAAATAACACCTGGCCTTATTAACGTCCATGTACGCTATTCGGTTTAGCGATATCTCTCTATTACGCTGTTTATTGTTATTTTACGCGAGTTTATTTTTGCGCACAGGAAATTTTACTCGTTTGCACATCGTCATAAAAAACAATTTTCGTACCACGAATTAGGGACAAGATTTTTATCTGTATACTTATAGGATACCTAATCTGTGATGCTAGCAACAGCTTGAGGTAATCAGTTGTATTCATAGAGAAAACCTAATATTTAGCTATGGAGGCTAGAAGGAGGAGGCGAATCGAACGCAAAAATTATGGGCCTAGTTTTTGAGATCTAAATGAAGTTCGAAAATCGCCGTTAGGGGCGCATGTGATCCGACATATTGAGAAATACACAGCTTCTTATGGCAAGAATTACTATTTTGTTATAAATTATAGAGTTCAGTTAATATTTGGGCATATTTTACCAGATTTAACTTTTTAGAAACGTGTTTTTTCTAATTGAACAATGTGCGTGGCTAAAATTGTGAATACAAAACCTTAAATTTGAGTTTGAAAAGTAAGTTAGAAGTTAGGTTATATCAGATGCCGGTTTTAGATATTCTTTTTCTAAGTTGTTATTATAAAATTGTTTCATTATATGGTTCTTTTTAGTGCATACACGACCGAAGAAAAACATAAGCTGCTAAAATAAATCTTCCCTATAACTGTTGTACAAAAAAGATAGAATTTCCAGCAACAAATATCACCAGTTCGACCTTTGATTTGATGTAAACAGTAATTGTTTCTTGATGACAAATGCGAATTAAATAGTTTATGGTGTGATTGTGTTAGTGATTTATTAATAGTTTTTCATAAAAAACATTTGAAATTGATATGTTTACAAGCAGTTCAGTGTGATATCATTTTAATAAACATTAAAAACTTTCTTAACAAACAAGTAGTGGTTTTACCGCAATTGACAGAAACTGAATCACGAAAATTAAAAGTATTTTATCAGGAATAACTTCAATGGAAAGTGAACACTACTTTTGCACCCTGTGATCAGTGTTATCTATCCCATAACTTTTTATAGCTGAAACCAGAGAACAGGTACATTAAGCTGAAATGTTTCCTGTGTCTAATAGTGTTTTTTCTTTAGATTTTCTGAATTTAAGTTTTAATGTCATTAGCAAAATTTTGCAAATTGTCACTGTTTCGTAGACAATTAAATTCAAGATGTATTATATTCAATGTCACCTAATAATTGTAAAGGTAAATTTTTGTAAATAAAATATTAATGAATAAATAATGAACTCAATTTATTTTAAAAGAGTTGTAAATATGTATATACCCTGACTTATTTCATCATATATTTATTTATTTAGCAATATTAATACTTTACAACTTTTGTTTTTAACTGACTAATTCCACTAAATTTAATAAATAAAATATACAGTATATAAATTTAATATACAATTTAGCACCTATACCAAAAAAATATAACAGGAGCAAGTTATATCAAGAACACAAAGAATTATAATTTAAAAAAATGCATTCTAAATAAATACCTGGCTACAATATACCTACATATTAATTTAAAGAGCTTATTCATAAAAACTATTCTAAATGGTTTATATACAAAATCAAAAGTCCTTCAACCACTGTACATTATTTTTCAATTTAAATGAAGCATCTCGGGTAAGTAAATTATTTTATATTAGAATACTATATTGCTTTGACGTAAATTCACTTTCAATAGTGTAACGTTTTTAGTTCGTTACATGTCTTTTTTTATATATAATATATGATGTCTGGCCTATCATCACCAGATTCCCTCTCGTTCAGGCTGCATAGATTATTTGACGCGTAATTTTTACGTTCCCTGGTCGACAACCCTGTTATGGTTTGGCACAACCCTGTTACTATTCTGTGGAGGCGCGCGCTGTTAACTCTCCGTGCTTAACCTCAATTTGTTTTGACGCTCTGTTTTATCCCAGCTTTTAGAAATGGTGATTATTTAAATCTTGCTGTATAATCTGAATCAGCTGCCATTTCGAAGCTACAGGGTAGAGTTACGGATGTCCCAACTTGTATTTGTATTTGGCTGGCACGTTGGCGTCCCTTTGCTTTTGTCCTCCAGAATGTCATTTGGAAGAAAGGACAGATTGTTTATTATTTATTGAGCCCTCAGAAGTATTTCGAGGGTCTTACGGACGGACATTGTCTTACGGACAAGTGTCCAAGGTATGGACTATTTTTCATGGTCCTAGTAGTGTTCTCTTGTGCCACTATCTTATGGACGGATGTCCCATGGACAAGTGTCCCCAGTAGGATTGATTTGTCTTACACATAGAGTGCCCCAGCGTGGATGTGGCTTGAGCCCCGTGCTGCTTCAACCCCATTTCTAAGCCTGGATCGCCGACAGACAGTACAGAGATGCTAGACCTCCTCGCGCTGCTACTGTTTGAAGCAGGGTTACATAAAAGAACAGCTAAGTGTATATTTAAGTTCTAGTTTTGCATTTAACATCTAAAATGTTTTCAGTCTTAAACAGTAACGTACATTTTAAATAATATCGTACAGACTATATTTAGTGGTTAGATTATTAAGAACATTTATGTCGATTCAGTAGTTACAATGTGATTTAGATTTTAGGTTTCATTATATTACGCCTTGTAATAGTATTACTTTCTATAGATATTATTATTGCGCTATATTAACAGATGAATAACGAGACATAGATTCTAGAATCTACAGGTTGCAACACATCAGATTTAACACCGCATAAAATTTAACAATTTAAATTAAAGTAATGCTACTTTTCTTATATTTTCTATAACGTTACACGCATTGTATCTTTTCATAGTCTTTTCATAGAACATATTTAATAGTATTTACATACATAGTTTTACTCAACAAATAACCACTATAATAATTATTAAAATTGTACAATGCTATTTACCATCAGCATTCATCATGAATAAATATAGTTATTAGTTTTAAGTATTATATATACAACTGTGTTTTCTTTCTCTGTACATGCCTGGCGCCCAATATCTATTTTTTTGTTTATTGTTATTAATTAGTTTTCTTTCCAGTGAAATACCTTATCCACGACTGCTCTCCGATGAAAAGCTGCCGTTCGCAGTGGTAGTTGTTTTAAAAAACGCTACAATAGCACTGTTTAAATGGTGGTTAATACATATCAACAGGTAATTTTAGCCACCAGCTAGTAGGTAAATTATTTTTACTTTATAACAAGGCCTCCTAGGTTATGTTACGCAGATGTTGATTTTAGGCTATATTCTCTATTAATTTGAATTTAAAATTAATCTGTACACTGACAGTATATAAATTGAATGTTTTTCTTACCATCTATCCATATTTTTTTAAATAAATAGTTATACCACTTACATTAGGACCTTTGAAAAGGCTTGGGTTTCTTTATTTGCCTTTTTTCCACTGTAAGTCCCACTTATACAGCCAGGTACGAAGCAAGATCTATTATATAGGGTTTTTTTAATCACACTCATTGTTACATTGCTAATAGTTCAATAAAATAACTATAAATTTAAAAAAAAACTAGTAAAAACACAGTTAAATCGTATTCTAACAATGCAAATGATCAATCTAACCCGCTTACAGTGCCTCTGGTGTCAAACCGAGAAACTTGCTTTAAAGTAGGGACAGAAATTTCAAATATGCCCCATTGTCGATTGGCCTTCTCCTTCTAGCCTCCATATATTTAGCTTAAAAAACCATAAACTTTTGATTTCTAACCACATTTTCTCTTGACGGATGATAATCAAAGGCGAAAATGACATTCCTCGCAAATTTTGAAGTATAATTAGTAGAAAAGTTAAAAATTTAGTCACTTTTTCCACTAATTGAAAATACCTTTCACTAATTTTGACGTTCTGAATGCTTACATTCAAATTAGAGGAACAAACTTCTACAGTTATTGAAACCACTAATTGATTCTTCTAATTGCGAGGACGTGATTTAGAGAGGGCTTCACACTCAGGTAGGCACTTGGGCATGATTTAGAGAGATGCATCTGTGGCTTGTGCATGCTGAGAGTTCATAAGAATAGAGGGCACTAAATTTACAGATAAAGTGATAAACAAATTTGTAAAACACAATAAAGGCCTTAACTTTTTATTCAAACAGTAAGTTAATATGCTTGCTTCATCCACGTTACCGTAAATGGAGCTTCAGCTTCTTGGTTTGGTAGGGATAAACAAACAAAATACAAGAAGCGGAAAAAAGGGCCAAAAAAGTAAGTTAATAAACCAATTTTTTTAAGTTATTTTTCGGGGAACTTTTTGTTCAAACAGGAGGTGCAAGTGCACCCCTTGAATCCATTGGTAAGTATAAACATCATTTTAAAACTTACCTTGCATTTCCACCCGTATTTTGGTATAGATGTTACAATTGGTCTTTGGCAGCTAGCATGGTAAACTTTATCACATTGCTCGCAGGTCATTAATTTGCTTTCGTCGCCCATTATGCGACAAATCTGACAAATGCGGCATTTACGACATTGCCACCCTGCCCTAACCCCTAAAAATAAAGATCTGAATTTTTAGTACAAATTACTTTATTTGTACGTGATTTTTACAAAGTGTATATTTTACAAATTGAATTAATATCAGCGTAATAGCGTAAAAGCTGAATATATTATTGAATTATAAAAATTAATTTATACTAGGTGTACCAAAAAGTTCGCAATAAATAGGAACATTTTTTATTGAGTTCAAACAAAGGAAATCTGAAAAAAATAATTATTAAAGCAGTCATTTTATTTTTGTTAATTCTATTAGTTACTAGGAACGATGTCATCGCAATGACTGACGTAACGTACGCCAACTCCTCTTTTGCACATAGTCTGTCGAACGAAAGGCTACACGATAGTGACAGTTGTCAGTCAATTTAACGCACACGGAAATTGTATTTGCTATCAGTATTGGACGTCATCTGTCGGTATATCCCCTGACTCACTGAGCAAACTTTATGGATAGAGGATTTTTGTAGTGTTGCGTCAGTTATCACATGAATTTTTTTTTCATATTGGGTAGATCTGTTGCAACTTTCAGGCACACCCTTATATTATAATAATTATTATACAGGGTGGTCCGAACTGTATTCCGGAAACTTCGGCAGCATATTCTGCAGATAAAAATAAGTAAAAAAGTTTGTATAAATGTATGTCCTAAAATGCTTAGTTTCGTAGATAGAGGGTGTAGAAGTTTCATTTTTATTTCGATTTTTTCCAAATAATTTATGTAACATCAATATTTGGATGAAAATTGTTGTCTGGGAGTTTTTTGATATGAGAAATTTGATTTTGATGTCAATAAGAGTCCTACTTGTAGAGGGCGCCACCTACATATTTTTTAACTGGATTGAAGAGTAATAACTTTTCGTCCGTACCAGTATAAAACTACTGAGTAAAAAAATATACATTAACGACATTTTCTACGTGAAAAAGGTCTCGATAACTTGATAAAAATCGTTACGAGTAATGGTTCTCGAGATATTTGGAATTTAAATTCTCAATACCTATCATTGACATAAATTAAACATGTTGACTAAATAATTATTAGACTGAAATCATAAATTTGAAATGTTTTTGTAACAAAGGTCAACAGAAACTGATTTATCATCATTTTTTCGCAGAAAAATTTATGATTAATTTAAAAAAAACAAAAATTTCCCAAATTTATTATTTCAGTCAATTAACTAACGTTTATTTTTTGTCAATAATGACATGTATTGACTATTTCCATTCTAAATATCTTGAGAACGGTTGCTCGTAGCGAATTTTACCAAGAGACATTTTTTATGTGAAAAATATCGTAAATGTATATTTTTTTACTGGTCAGAATTAATACAGGTACAGTATACAGGACGAAGAGTTATTTCTCTTCAAAACAGTTAAAGCACATGTAGGTGGCGCCCCCTACAAATAGGAGCCATATTGACATTAAAATTAAATTTCTCATGCCAGAAAACTCCCATGCACCAATTTTTATCTAAATATTGATGTTACTTCATAAATTATTTGGAAAAAATCTCGAAATAAAAATGAAACTTCTACACCCTGTATCCTCGAAACTAAGCATTTTAGGACATACATTTATAGGAACTTTTTTACTTATTTTTATCTACAGAATATGATGCCGAAGTTTCCGGAATACAGTTCTGACCACCCTGTATATTAACAATTATTAATATTAAAGTTGTATCCGACTATTAAAATACACTAATTTTTCATTATTACTATTTCAAACATTTTAAATGATAAAACATTATTTTCAATTGTATTAGTCCATTTTTTTGGAAAAGTTATAAAATTTATTTTATATTTTTATTTTATTTAATTTTATTATAAAGGTTTATTATTTTTTAAGCTGAATATACATGTAGGTTGAAAAAATAGTTAAAATAATCATTACCTGGTAACTGAGCTAAACCAACACAGCTTCCATGATAATGTGCGCCACAACTTGAACAGAACATTAAGTTTGAGATATCGCCAACGTTTTTACAGGTGTAGCACACTGATACTAAAAAATACAACACATAACAATCAAATCAATTCAGATAAATATAATATTCTCGCTTAGCGATCAGAGATACCAAAAATAGTTGAACAAGAGTTTTTTCAGTTGCTATACCGGGTGGTGCACCGTCGTTGAAAACAGGAAATTCCATGCAGATTTTGAACTGCCCAAATATTGGCTCCCCTATTAATTTTACAGCTAAGTCGTAAATAGGTTTTTCAAAAACTGTTTATTAAAAATATTTTATCATTGTCAAATGTAATTTGTTGTGCTGTACCTACACTGCTACGTTATTGTACCTACGATTAGTGTCCCCGAAATATTATTTTTGTAATTTAAAACCAGTTCAAATGAGGCAAAAGTTTAACGATTAGAAGACACAATTTGACATTGACAAAATTATAGGATGACAACTTAAAGCATTTGCTTGGTTTTGCATTGTTACCTATTCAGTTTTAATTTAAAAATAGATGCAATTTTTCTTAAATTACAGTAGAACCCCGATTATCCGAGTCGGAATTATCCGAGCTCCGGATTAACCGATCTAATCTAAAGACCCTAATTATCCGAGGTCGCGCGTCTATGCTCTGTATTAACCGAGCTTCTAAAATATGTTATATGTATATTTACATATTTCCGTTTAACATCGATGGGACCGACAGGGAATCCCCTTGGCCCGTGTGAGTGGTTCCCCTTATTTATATTTTTGGACTCTTATAGCTTAAATTTGAGTGAATGCAGTTCGTTATTGCGTTCACTAGGGAGAAGTAATATACCTATGTACTCGCATGATTTATCTGGGTGGAGTTCTAGTTAAGTGTATACCAACTGCTTTGTTTAAATTTTCGTTTGCCGTATTATAATGGAACGAAACAAACGTAAAAGAATTGTCGTTGCTATTGAAGAAAAAATAAAAGCTATTAGGAGAATTCAAGCAGGAGAGACAATTAAAATTGTTGCACGAGATTATGGAGTAGGTGAGGTAACAGTTGGAGATTGGAACAGAAACAGCACTAAAATAGAAGAATGGTGTATAAAACAAGCCTCTTCGTCTTCAAGAAGAAAATCAATGAAAAAAGGCGACTATGAAAAAGTTAACGAAGCTTTATTTACGTGGTTTACTCAGCAAAGATCAAAAGGTGTGCCTCTGTCAGGTCCCATTTTGCAGCAGAAAGCAATAATGATTAGTAAACAATTTCCAGAGACAGATAGGTTTACCAACAGTTCTGGATGGCTTGACCGCTGGAAAAAACGGTACGGTGTACGACAACTGACTATATATGGAGAAAAACTTTCTGCTGATGTGTCATCAATTGAAAAATTTAAACAGGACTTTAAAAAGCTAATCAAATATTGTGGGTATACATGTGATCAAATTTATAACTGTGACGAAAGTGGTTTGAATTATAAAATGCAATCAAAAACATTGGCATCTCGACAGGAAAAATCAGCTCCTGGGCACAAAAGAAGTAAGGAAAGATTAACCATAATGGCATGTTCCAATGCATCTGGTAATCACAAAATTCCACTTATGGGGATTGACAAGTCTGCACATCCAAGAGCGTTAAAAGACATCTCACCCAAAGCCCTACCAGTTTATTACAAAAGTCAGAAGAGCGCATGGATGGATGCGACGTTATTTACTAACTGTTTTAAAGAAGAGTTCGTGCCATCTGTGACTAAATTTTTGAAGAGTACTAGCCTCCCTATTAAAGCAATTTTGGTAATGGACAATGCTCCCTCTCACCCTGGAGAAGGACTCCACGCGGGCGAAATTGTAAAATTTTTTCCTCCAAATGTAACCAGTATAATGCAACCAATGGATCAGGGCGTCCTCGAAAAGATAAAAAAAATATAGGCGTTTATATCTTGAACATCTACTAGAATGCACAGAAAAAAAGAGGATATTATCACTGGGATAAGAAAGATTACACTAAAAAATGTTATTTACTGGGTAAGCCAAGCTTAGGATTCTGTACGCGGTTCCACTATTCAAAAATCTTGGTCGAAAGTTATTGATATTGAGGACTATAATGACAGTGAAGATGATATTCCATTAAATGAATTGGCTTTGAAATGGAAAAGCCGTGGAGAAATGTCCTGTACAAATTTAAACGAGACAGGAGAAGAAGAAAGTTTATTAGAATTAATGCAAAACTGGAAAGGTTGCGAAAATGTGACAAGATAAGACGTTGATGAATGGGTTACAGCAGATGATTTAGAAGAAGAAATGAATATTGAAGAAATAGCGAACGCCTTTCGCGAAACCTGAAAATCAGATGACGATAACTATGACGAAGAGGTGGATGAACAGCCTTCCACTAAGATTACCCATCAAGGTTTTGCTTCTCTGGAAACAGCTCTGAGGTATATCAACAACAGAACAACAATCAGAGGCAACCCCAACAGATTTGCTTCTTCTTAACAGAAGGAGAAATATGGCAGCGAGAAAAAGAAGATGCAATATGAAACAGCAGCGCATAGATACTTATTTCACTGTTTTATAATGTAGATTGTATCTACATATGTAGGTACTTATGTATTTACATGTTAAAAATGTTAATAAACCGTTTAAAGTATGTATTGGTGCTTATTTTTTAATAAATCCGGATTATCCGAGTTTTCAGTTGTCCGAGGAGTATGTCCCCCACGTTACCTCGGATAACCGGGGTTTTACTGTACTTAAAATCGGCTTTGTTCAAATTTGGCATGTGTATTCAGCATGTACATATCTTTTAAAACCCTATTTACAACTTGTTGCTGTAAAATTAACACGGGAGCCAATATCTGGACAGTTCAAAATTTCCATGCCATTTCCTATGTTTCCAACGATGATGCACCACCCGGTATAGTAACACAGTTAAATAAACAAATTAATCCATAATAAAATCATTCTACCCTAAACAAAAATAAAAGCTAAAAATTTCATTAAACTTAAAACAGCAAAATAAAACACTAAATCACCACAATACACCAAAACACTTTTACTTTTACACTGGACGCGCGTTTCGCTAACCATGTTAGCATCATCAGCAGATGATTATAAACTAAAATACAATCTACAATTGGAGCGTGTATATACTCGCTCAGTGGGCAGAGTGGGCGTGGCAAGATCTAGCCAACCGAGTCAGAACCCACCGAGCGTAACAGTTAGATTTCCGCCACTAGAGTATGTAATAGGAACAAAGAACTCGAAGGAATTGGACCGTTGTCTCTGTTCATACTATCTTTACATTTATTAATTCTGATGCTTTCATATGCATCTAATTGCCTGTAATTTGAGACTTGTTTAAGTAATTTTAAGTTATTAAGATCTATACAATGTTCTTTATCAACAATATGTTCGGCAACGCAAGATTAATCAGGTCTATCATATCTTATTTGTGCTAAATGTTCTTTAAATCTAGTTAATATTGATCTTCTAGTTTGCCCAACATATTTCTGATTACAATCTTTACAATAAATTTCATAAATACCCGACCTTTCCAGTAGAGGTGTTTTATCCTTTGGATTACCTAATAATTATTGTAATTTATTATTAAACTTATTAAAAACTGATTTTTAACTGAGTTAAAAATAATATTGAATTCATTAACAAAATTAAAAATATAACATTGCATGAAGGTGAAATTTTGGTCTCCTTTGATGTATCTTCGTTGTTCCCAAGTGTTCCAATTCCACACACTTTAGGCTACTTGAAGGAATTACTGAACGCAAATGGTCTCGACAACAAAACTGTGATTGAATATATTGAGCTTACATCATTATGTATAAAACAAAATTGTTTTCAATTTAATAACAACTTTTTTGAACAGCGGGAAGGTACAGCAATGGGTAATCCATTGTCTTCATTTTTGGCTAATTTATTCATGAGCAGGTTTGAAGTGGAGGTTAAGAATCAGTTTGAGTATTTTCCAAGAGTATGGTTTAGGTATGTGGATGATATTTTTGCTGTTTTTGACACACATTTAGACACCATAGATAATTTTATTTCTAAGTTAAATAATCGTTTTCCTTCCATTAAATTTACACATGAAAATGAGAACAACGACAGATTACCATTTCTAGATGTATTAGTTATTAGAAATACTAATAATTGCCTGGAATTTAATATCTATAGGAAAAATACCACTACACGCAGATATATTCCTAATGAATTATATCATAGTATTGAACATAAAATGGCTAGTTTAAATTTCTTAGTTCATAAATTACTTAGTTTTCCACTTTCCAACGAAAAATATGAAATAGAAAGAAATTACATTAGGAATGTAGCTGAGTGTAATGGATATTCTCCTTCACTAGTTGATAAAATAATTAGAAAACGTAGGTATAGGTTAATGATTTTTGAAAATTCGACTTTTCAAGTGGAGAAAGATACGTCAAAATATTTTTCAATACCGTTTGATAGACGAAGAATGTCAATTATAAACTTGTGTATAGTGCTAATAATAAATTACAACAATTATTAGGTAATCCAAAGGATAAAACACCTCTACTGGAAAGGTCGGGTATTTATGAAATTTCTTGTAAAGATTGTAATCAGAAATATGTTGGGCAAACTAGAAGAGCAATATTAACTAGATTTAAAGAACATTTAGCTCAAATAAGATATGGTAGACCTGATAAATCTTGCGTTGCCGAACATATTGTTGATAAAGAACATTGTATAGATCTTAATAACTTAAAATTACTTAAACAAGTCTCAAATTACAGGCAATTAGATGCATATGAAAGCATCAGAATTAATAAATGTAAAGATAGTATGAACAGAGACAACGATCCAATTCATTCGAGTTCTTTGTTCCTACTACTCTAGTGGCGGAAATCTAACTGTTACGCTCGGTGGGTTCTGACTCGGTTGGCTAGATCTTGCCACGCCTACTCTGTGCCCACTGAGCGAGTATATAAACGCTCCAATTGTAGATTGTATTTTAGTTTATAATCATCTGCTGATGAGGCTAACATGGTTAGCGAAACGCGCGTCCAGTGTAAAAGTAAAAGTGTTTTGGTGTATTGTGGTGATTTAGTGTTTTATTTTGCTGTGTAACACCAAAAGTTCCAACCCTCAACTGTAAACTTAAAACATAAACAAATTTCTTAGAACTGAACAAAAACTTAACAACGAGCTTAATTGCACGAATTCGTATGAAAATTAATAACTTCCTAATGCCCGATGCCCTGACAAAATGAAAACTTAAATTTCAATTAAAGTTGGTATCGCAACAATACAACTTTTTAATACACAATAGGCCCTAAATATAGTTTTCTTTTAAATTATTCTTAAAAATCAAGTAAACGTTGATCAGAGGCTTAAAGTCTATTAAGTTAATAAAGAGTGTCTTTAATAGACTAAAGATAAACACTAAAACCGCGCTATAAATATCTACCTGTAGTTAAACTTACCTTCACCACGCATAGCTGCGTCACCAAGATGGTTACTACAGTAAACAGATAAAGAACTTTGTTCTTGTAAGGCACCAGAGGCTGTGGCACAAGGAAAATGATAGAATTTGGAGCAACCTTCATTTTTGCAGGTAAGACTAGCACCATAATGATTGCAGAAAGAGCATTTCTTCGACGAACTTTGTAGTACAACTGGGCCGACATTTTCCAAAGCTTGATGTTCTATAAAAAAAATTCACAATCACATATTAATGACGTCACGTGGAAAAACTGGCTTTAATTTTATAGAACGTAATTGTAAAAAAAATACATTACTTTTTTTCCCTGTGTTTTAAAAGTATTATATGCCAATCTATAAATGTAATTATAATCTATAGAAAATAAAAATGATATGAAATGTAATTATAGGACTATATAAGTTATTTTTTAAATAGGGTGAGATAGAAGACCTACCTGTTCTACTAACTCCATTGGACCAAAGTGCACAGTTCCTATGAACATAAAATTGACCCGTTGATTCATACAAAACGCTAATGCTGGGCTGATCCAAATGACCGATAATAGTCAACTCATCGATATGCTCATTATTTGATGATACACTGCGCGCTTTGCTGAAATTTTTCAACCGTCTGTAAAAAAAATTAATTGGATTGTAAAAAAAATTTTGTATTCCTCATAGTAAATCGACAGAGAGTCGTCATATTTTCTTTCTTTGGATACACGTTGCTGATAGTGTTGCTTTTTACAAAAATATATTTTACAAAAACCAGGTATACAAATTAATACCTTAATAAAATAATAACAATAAATATATGGATATACACTCTGTTGCATCGCCGAGCTGAACATAGGAAATCCGATGTAAATTATAAAAGTAATAAAAAATGTCCCCATTTTATTTTAATGGAAAAATTATTTGAAACTTTTTCAGGAACTTATTAAAACGAAGCAAATTGTTATAATAATAGCTCCCGTATATAGCGTTTAACGCCTTGGGAGTAGCAAGGTACAGCTTGCCATACTAGAGCCGTTCGGTATACGAGGAAGGTAATGTGGCTAGAATTACGCTTCAACCGTCTATTATTACCTCAGGATTGTGAATCCCAAGTACTCATTTAAGACTGAGTCGACCTAGGCACCCAAACTATTTTTATTTTAATAAAAATAGTCGGCTGATGAAATACCGGGTGTGGGATTCGAACCCACTACCTTGAGATTGGTAGACGAGAGCCTGTACCTCTACGCCACCGGGCACCTTAAGCAAATTGTTCATTTCCAATTTTCATTCTACGATTCCTTTTGGAATTATAAATGACAAAAAAATACTAAATTAATTATGAAATGACGGTCCTGGGGCCCAAACTCTGTAACTTAGGAAACGCTATGCACTTTTAGACGTTTAGCGCATATGACGTTAATTTTCGATGACGTTAATTTTCGCTTAGCTCGCACTTGACTACCCAATTGGGTATTCTAATTTGATGCGCTTACCGTAGCGTCTTTACCGATTGCGCTAAGCGATTCGAAAACCTTAAAGGCTCATTTTGGCTACCTTAAAAGCTCGTTTTGCTTGTCGAACTAACCTAAAAATAGATACAACTGTCAGTAAAAATAGAACAAATTATTGTGATTTTGTGCGTTCTCTTGCTCGTTAGTGAAAAATACTTTTTCTATAAGTTCCTCAATAAGTAACTGATAATTTAGGACTTGGCAGCTATAAATATTTGTTCAAAACATCGAAAATGCTGGGAAGTGTCTTCAACATTTCCCTTGTATAATAATAATAATGACATATCTATATAAAAATAATGACATATGGCATAACTCAACAATAGGTTATGAAATTCACGTAACATTGAGATGTTTTATCGTTTTATCCACATTTGACTATTAGATACCTGAGAAATTGCGATGCTGCCAATATCTGCTCAACGCGTATCCAGAAAACGATTCGCACGGCAACGAGAATACCAAAATCGACTGCTTGGCGTTCCGCTAATCGAATACTTTCACCTACCGCTTTAAAAACGTAACGTTTTTATGTTGAAGTTCCAGAATTCGGGCCCAGAGAAGTTATTAAAGACTATAAATGTAAAACGAAAAATAATATACAGGGTGGTCCGAACTGTATTCCGGAAACTTCCGCAGCATATTCTGCAGATAAAAATAAGTAAAAATGTTCGTATAGATGTATGTTCAAAAATGCTTAATTTCGGAGATACAGGGTGTAGAAGTTTCATTTTTATTTCGATTTTTTCCAAATAATTTCTGCAGTAACGTCAATATTTAGATTAAAATTGGTGTCTGGGAGTTTTTTGACATGAGAAATTTGATTTTGATGTCAATATGACTCCCACTAGTAGGGGTCGCCACCTACATATTTTTAACTAGTTTGAAGAGTAATAACTTTTCGTCCGTACGTGTATAAAATTACTGATTAAAAAAATATACATTTACGACGCTTTTTACGTAAAAAAGGTCTCTTGGTAAAAATCGCTACGAGTAATGGTTTTCGATATATTTGGAATCGAAATTATCAATACCTGTCATCACTGACATAAATTAAACATGTTGACTAAATAGTTATTAGACTGAGATCATAAATTTGAAATGTTTTTGAACCAAAAGTTCAACAAAAACTGTTTATCATCATTTTTTTTGCAAAAAAAATATGATTAATTTAAAAAAATAAAAATTTTCCAAATTTATTATTTCAGTGAAATAACTAATATCTAATCAACGTGTTTATTTTTCGTTAATAATGGCATGTATTGACTATTTCCATTCTAAATATCTTGAGAACGGTTGCTTGTAGAGATTTTCACAAAGAGATATTTTTTACGTAAAAAATCACAGAGATGTATATTTTTTCCCTCGGTAGTTTTATACAGGTAGGGACAAAAAGAAGAAGTGCGAAAATCAGATGGACAACACCCAGTTTGGCTTCAGAAACGGACTCGGAACGCGTGAAGCACTCTTCTCCCTAAATGTAATGACACAGAGGTGTAGAGACATGAATGTGAATGTATTTGCATGCTTCATAGACTATCGTAAAGCGTTCGACTGTGTTAATCATCAGAAGATATATAGTGAGATGTTTGGACTGTTCAGACTATAGTGAGATGTTTGGACTGCATCTCAATGTCTCCAAGACCAAACTATTGGTCTTTTCTAAGACTCCAATAAATGCACACCTGCGTGTCAAGGGACAAACAATCGAACAAGTGACCTCAATAAAGTATTTAGGAGCTAACATCAATAGTCAGTGCGACCCGAAAAGAGAAATATTTTCAAGAATTGAGCAAGCGAGAAAAATCTTCGTGAGAATGAAATCATTTTTTACAAGAAGAGACCTCAGTGCGGATCTCAGAACTCGAATGGCCAGATGCTACGTCTTCTCTGTGTTACTCTATGGATGTGAGAGCTGGACACTGGATTCACAGACCGAGAAGAGAATAGAAGCCTTCGAAATGTATATATACAGACGGATGCTGCGAATCTCATGGGTACAAAGGATCACCAACAATGAAGTACTCCAGCGCATGCAGAAACAAAAAGAGATACTGAACACCATCAAGGAAAGAAAAATGCAATACCTGGGTCATGTGATGAGAGGTGGTAGATACGAAATACTGCGCCTCATAATAGAGGGCAAAGTGCAAGGGAAAAGATCAGTAGGAAGACGCCAGAACTCATAGCTAAAAGATTTGAGGAGATGGTTTGAACGCTCGTCTGCGGAAATCTTCCGGGCTGCAGTTTCCAGAGCCACAATTGCCATTTGGATCGCCAACCTTCGGCAGGAGAGGACGTGATAAGAAGAAGAAGGAGGGACAAAAAGTTATTACGCTTCAAAACAGTTAAAACACATGTAGGTGGTGCCCTCTATCAGTAGGAGTCATATTGACATCAAAATCAAATTTCTCATGTCAAAAAACTTCCAGACACCAATTTTCATCTAAATATTGACGTTACTTCAGAAATTATTTGGCAAAAATCGAAATAAAAATAAAATTTCTACACCCTGTATCTCCGAAACTAAGCTCCACACCGCTCTACGCGTGCAGCTATGTTGGGCCACGGCCTAAAGCAATTAGTACTCCAAATGCATACAAAAGTAATTCATGGTGACTCTAACCTCTCTCACTATAAGAAAAACACAAACGATACGAACAGATAAACTTCGGGTATTTTTTATAAGATGTAACCGTTGTCAGTTTGATGTGGTTGAAGTCGCCATGAAGCATTTTTGTAAGCATTTGGAGTACTAAAGGTTTTGTTTTAGTGCCTGAAGAAGCGACAACTACAGTCACGACAATACAGTCGTGAAATGTCGCACAAAATTAGAATGTTAGAAACTAGTAAAAATGCGTATTGTGTCTTTTTTGAAAAATTAAAATTATCACAGTTTGAATTCCAGAAGAAAAAAGACATAAATGATGCTAGTTTTGTATTTCTTAAGATTCATATTTGATCATTAATGACAACGAAATGGCTGCGGCCTTTGATTGCATGGACCATACCATACTGTTGCACAAGTTGGAAATAACTGAATTGATGGATCCAAGTTTTAAGTGGTTTCATCCACGACTAGATAATTATATTACCTGCAAGTTACTGGACCCCTAGGACTCTTGTCCCCAGATTCTCTTTCAGGGAGTTGAGGTGGTTGATTATTCAACTCATTGGTTAGGATTTTCTGGGGAGTAAATCCTTCTGGACAATTCAACCGAAGTATTTCTCCTTGCCCTAACTGACTGCGGTCGCCCAAGTTGCAAAAGGCACATACCTATAGAAAAGACACAAATTAAGTGAAAAAACAATTAGTTGAAGTTAAATTCAAACAAACGTATATCACGCGTTATAAATATCCAAATATCCACTCTGCTTATTATATTTCTTACACGGCCAAATTAACAGTTAGATCTAACCACAATTAAAACCACTGTATCTACTAGAAATACAGGGTGATTCATGGCGATGGCACGTTAGACGTTTCTGAAGAACCGGATTTTTTTAATAATTTGGATTTTTGTATAAAGGCACCTGCTCTATTTGTCTAAATTACTTTCAGCATTACAATGTTGCTGCTTCATACTAAAAATAGTAGCATCTTTGTTACTTTAAATAGGACACTCAGTATATTATTACATTTTTCAAAACTACTTTCATATCTCTTAATTTTTATATTATATTTACCTATACCTATCTCTAATAGTTTTCGAGATAAAAAATAAAACATTTGTAAAATTGACAAAAACATGATATTGAATAAGCATTGGTTAAATCATAAATTCGGCGTATTGAGTATTGAAAGCTAAAATTTGGTTTAAATCAACCGACTGGATATCAAAAACAGAAAAAATCATTATTTCCGATTGTTACAAAATCGTTCAAATTTTTGTTATTTTAAATTCAAGCCTACGTATATTATTTAAAAAATCGAAACCCAAATAAAATTGCTTTACAGCGATATATCATGTTCCTATATCTAAATTTTCTGCTTTCTTCGGTAAAGCAATTTAAAAGATATAATTCTACTATAATTGTCTCATTTAAAAAAAATCGTTACCATGACAAATATTCAAACTTTATAAGTATCAATCAGATAGTACGAGAGCTTTATTATATCTTTTACTATGCTCTCTAGAACAGAATGCGGCCCGTCTGGCTGCCGGTAAACGTTGCGTTCCCTACTGCGAGATTGAAAGAAGATCCTATATTTTTATTAGTCTTTTAAATTCTAGTATTGAATATAAATCGAACATGCCTCCATAGCAAAGTCTTTGACCTGACCCGGATTCGAACTCTGAATCATCGGTTCGTGGTTGGAAACTCTACGCACTGCGCTATGGAGACATGTTCGATTTATATTCAATACTAAAATTGATAGAACTAAATTAATAAAAAAATATAGGATCTTCTTTCGATGCGCAGTAGTAAACGCAACGAGTATCGGCAGCCAGACGGGCCGCATGCTGTTCCAGAGAGCATAGTAAAAGATATATCAAAGAGCCAGACGTTTTAAAATACTTTCTCGAAAACGTTGCTAGCTCTTAGGCTAAGAGTTTACGTGCTAAATTTATATAATTGTCATGGTAACGAAATTCTTGATATGAAACTATAATAATCCTAAAAATAGAAGTATTAATTTTTAAATAGCTCTACTTAAGAAACTGGAAAATTTAGGTATAGGAACATGATATATCGTTGAAAAGCAATTTTATTAGCCTTTTGATTTTTTAAATAATATAAATAGGGTTGAACTTAAAATAACAAAGATTTGAGGAATTTTATAATAAACGAAAATAAATATTGGTTTATTTAGACACATCGAATATATCGACTTTCGTTAACTTATAATCCAAATTTCAACTTTTAAAATGTTTAGTTCATGATTTTATTAATGCTTATTCACGATCGTGTTTTTGTAGATATTACACGTTTTATTTTTAATTTCAAAAACTATTAGAGATAGGCATAGGTTAGTATAATAGAAAAATTATGAGATATGAAAGTAGTTTCCAAAAATGTAATATTATACTGGGTGTTCTATTTAAAATAAGAAAGATGCTACCACTTTTCAAATGATGTGGCATCTCTGTAATGCTGAAAATATTTCAGAAAGATGAAGCAGGCAATTTTCAAGAAAATCACCGGTTCTCCATAAACGTCTAATGTGCCATCGCCGTGAATCACCCTATACATATAATTGGAATACAGACGATCTCCAAACCTGTACTGACTTGTAATGTAACAATCAAAGAGATGCGCTAAAAACCCGACAGTCGAGTGGAGCACCGTTGTTGTTCGTGAGCTCGGTTTGCCGATTATTTCCCTGCATTAACAAGCGAATGTTCGTGTTACATTACATTACAGCGCTCGGCTCAAGTCAATCCCCGCCTAATATAATAAATTCATCTTACCTTGCCTGGCCATGTTTCAGGAGCGTATGGAATATCTTCGAAAGCAGGAAGCATAGAACGCTCTCTATCGGGAAAAAAGAAATTATCTGAATCGGGAAGAGACATATCATCCAGAGAAGAAGGGCTAAAAGATAAAAACGCGTAATTAATTATTATAGAATGTAACTAATAGCGTAGGAATAGCCATAGACTGAACATAATACAGAATGTTGTAGGCTAAACATTGTTTATTTTTCATATGTCATGGTCAGCCAGAAATTAATTCATATTTATCTTGAATAAAAAGATTAAGGATGGAGCGTATCAAAAATCTTAGATCAAACGCGACGAGGTCCTAGAATGGCCGACTTAAATTTCGGTTTATCAGTGCCGTTCTAATTTTATTCAAAACGTGTAAAAATATGATGTAGGGCAGACAATACTGTGGACTCAATAATTTGTTGTTTTATTTTACGCTGTCAATAAATGTTGGTATTTATTGAAATTGTTATAAAAGTATTATACACTTCTAATAAAAATAGATAAGTTATAATAATTATTTATTAACACAAACATTCGATACGCTACTGAAGCAGGTAAGTCAAACTGACATATCTAAATTCTTTGACATCTAATCTTTGACAAGTAGTAAATAAAAACAAAAATGCAAGAAAATATACATAATTATACTCTGTTTTTTTCTCAGGTAAAAAGGCCTAAAGTTATACAATTTATTGTTTTGAAGTTTTTCTGACTGTGTTAGATGATTTTGTTTAGATGATTATGGTACCTATATAACTTTACGAGAGTATTGCTGTTCAGTCCAAATATGTTTGGCACACTCATTTCTAGTCAATTGGAATCAAAAATCGTTCAATGCCTACTTGGCGATTTCTGGCTTTTCCTTTCATATGGTAGAAAGAGAATCGTGAGGATAAAACAAAGTGATTCGCAACAATTCATGATCCGAATATCAGGTCTATGTATGTTTCATAAGTCGTCGGTGAAACGTGATAAACTGCTAACTCCATTATTCCTAATTTTACAGGAGAGCAAAAAAACGGTACAAAAAAATACGTACACATGTAGGAAGTATTTTGATGCGTTAATATGATAAAGAGATAAGAATTTTATTTGCTGGGGAACAATAAAACTCAATATTTCGTGTTACGTCATTTTTTTCAGACACAATAGGGAGATAGCAGATGTTCATCTTGCAGAAATAAGAAATAAAAATATACTTCTGGAGATAGCAACCTTTATTGTTTGAAATTTTGAAAATGGAAATGAATATGATCCAAACAGATTTAGAAATAATCAATTAAATTTAAAAAATATGATATTCATAACCATATATTTATAATATCATCGGTCTAGAAGCAAAACATACAAGTCAAAAAACGAATAAATTTTTAATGAAAAAATTTTTTGCATTTTTAAAGAACTGAAGTGGCAGAATTTTGGACTTAATGAATATGAAAATAATTTAAAAATTAAACTTATAATTCTTAGAAGATATGGTAGAATCCTTCCATGCTTATCCTAATTTTTATACGCAACGGTAGTAGACCGAGCTTGGAAGACTAGTGCGTGATTTTATTAAATTTTTGTTACTTTTCTCCTTATTTTTTTAATTTTTATAAAAATTATGTATCATTTACGTGAAAAAAATAAAACTGATTAGGTATTATGGAAATTCTTGTACAAGTAAGTAATGCTATTTAAACTATTTATAGCACGCATATGAATTGCTCGTATATAGAGAATTTCGTTTTTCCCCTTACCCTTTACGGATACCCCGTATTTACAGAACGGATCGACGCAGGGTCGGACTGGCCATATTATATAGATAACTTTTGGGGGGGGGGGGCAGCCTTTGCGGGCCCCTCTATAGTTCATTATTTATTCTTAACCATATTTGCTTTTGCATAGCATTATGAAATTTGCATTGCATTGGTTTACTTTGCATTAGGGTAGTTCCCTGATTTCTATACAGGGTGAGTCTTAAATAAGTGCAAATATGTTCAGGGCTGGTAAATCTGGATAAAAGAAACATAATATCTTCTCTTTACCGTTTTTTCAAATAAATCCAAAACAACAGAGTTATTTCACTTTTAAAATTTCCAGTTTTTTGCTATAATTTTGAGAATCATTGGATTTTCTTTCTTGTAAATTTAACCTACTACCTATGTTACCATATTACAAACAAAGTATGTTTTTAAACTAAAAATTAAAAAAAAAATCCAATTTTTTTTTAAATTCCAAATTTAAAAAAAAAAATTTCGCACAAAAAACCTCATAATCGTGATTCTTGGATCGAAATATACTACCCTAAAAATATTTGCACTTATTTAAGACTCACTCTGTATATAATAGGGAAAAATTGACCAAAACGTAAGGCGAAAAAATACGCAAAAAAAACACACGGGTCCCTCCTTACATTGCCCCCCGGGCCCCATTGGCCTAGTGCGACCCTGGATCGACGTACTGTACTAAAAAAAGATACGACTAAGAATCTGTGTTTTTGCTTTAGCGTGATCGTAACGGAAATTACGGAGATAGCAGCATTTCGGTGGCTATTTCAGATCACTAGGAGTTAGCAGATATTATTGAGTTAAAATAAAAAAAAAATCTTTAATGGGAAAAAATGTGTTTGCTTTCCCTATTTATAGAGTATTTTTTTCTCTTTCTAATGGTATAAAAAAACTTATTAACGTAAAAAATGGAGTTAGCAGGTTATCACGTTTCACTGACGAAGTGCTATTTTATGTCATGGATTTTTACATGACCTTGATGTAAGTTATATTTAAAAAAGTTAATCATGTATAAACACCTACCTGATTAGGTCAAAATCAAATCTATCAGGTTGTCTGACACTTCTAGAACCGCGACATCGAGAATAGCCAACAGGCTTTGCTCTTCTTACTCTTGGAACGCCACTATTCCCACCTCTTCTGGGTGGGGGTTTGCCTATATCAAAAAATAGTAAAATTTTACATAGAGCGTTCAGCATTCAAAATAAAGATCTACTTCAAAACTAATAACATGCATGGTATATATTATGTCCAATACATCAGGAAATATTTCGACAGACGTCATCCAAAAAATGACAGAAAATACAATTTACCTGTGAAATAAAATGACAGACAACTGTCACTGACATGTGTCCTCTCATAGGACAGACTTTTATAAAGAAAATAGCAATAAAGGAAACGTTGAGTTAACGACTTGCTGATTTATTATATTTTCTGTAAGAACTTCTCAGTTTCTCTCTCATTTTTATTGGCAGCATATTTTGTAGCGTTAAGTTTCATTCAGAACCTCGCAATTAGTGGAATAAATTAGTGGTTTCAATTAACGTAGAAGTTTGTTCCCTAAATCTCAATGTAAGCATTTAGAACGTCAAAATTAGCGGTAGACATTTTCAATTAGTAGAAAAAGTTATCAAACTTTTAACTTTTCCACTAATTATACTTCAAAATTTGCGAAAAAAACGCCATTTTGGCCTTTGATTATCTTCCATCAAGAGAAATTGTGGTTAGAAATCAAAAGCCGATTGTTTTATAAGCTAAATATTAGGGTTTCTCTATGGATGCAACTGATTACTGTTGCTAGGATATTCTATTAATTTTAATTGTGTTTTTTAGACATTGTGAATGATCGTAAACTGAAGTTTCATTTAGAACCTTTCAATTAGTATAATAAATTAGTGATTTTAATTAGCGTAGAAGTTTGTTCCTTTAATTTCAATGTATTGTATGCATTCAGAACGTTAAAATTAGTGGTAGTCTTTTTCAATTAGTAGAAAAAGTTAACAAACTTTTAACTTTTCCACTAATTATACTTCAAAATTTGCGAGGAATGTCATTTTGGCCTGTGATTATCAGTGATGGGATAACTCGAGCGAAAATTCGCTCGAGTACTCGATTATTGAAATAACCGACATCGCTCGATTATGAACGAGCGATGCAAGTGACGAGTTAAGAGCGACGAACGCAAGCGATCCTAGAATGAAATAAATTCAAATCCGATTTTAATGTGACATACTCGATAAAAAGCCGAGCGAATTTTCTACATACATTGCAGGTAGCAAATTTATACGACGTTATCCGTTGCGTATCTGAGGGACAAAATTTTATGGCCTACATCGACAATGGTTTGAAATAAACTAAATCAAGCGATCAAGCTTGCTACTACTTGCCATTCATCACCAATGGAATATGTGCCCTGCGCACGCAACTTACTGCTTGGCGTTAACGAGTACTTACAACAAGCGACGGACGAAAAACCGGATTTTTAAATACGAGCGATATTTCGCTCGAGCGATCGCTCGGTTATTGCAATCACTTGAAACTCGAGTACTCGATTATTGAAATTGATCGGTTTTTCCCATCACTAGTGATTATCCATCAAGAGAAATTGTGGTTAAATCAAAAGTTGATTATTTTATAAGCTAAATATTAGACTCTCTATGGATACAACTGACTAGCGCAAGCTGTTGCTTGGATATTCTATTAATTTTACTTGTGTTTTTTAGACATTGTGAGTGACTGTAAACTAAAAAGTATAAAGTGTAATTAAAACGACTAATTTATTCCACTAATTGTGAGGTTCTGAATGAAGTTTTACACTGATGTCTACATTTAACTTCAAAATTTCAATTCAACCAATTTTTTTTACTTATTGCATTTATTGTACAGGGTGGGTCAAATTGGACGCTTTTAAAGGGAAACACCCTTTTCTATAGGAGAGAGACAAAAACTAATATCGGTGTCTGGAGCTCAATTTTCATTAAAAACATGATGGTGAAAACCGCACATCGATATCTGTTACCGTTTCGGTGTTAAGGGGTGTTTTTCAAAAATGTGCATTTTTAACAAATCGCTGTAACTTTTTTGCTATTGAAAATTTTGTGTTACTATGAAAACATTTCCAAAGCACCTTTTTACGTAGAATTTAATGGTTTAAGTATATTTTTTTTTAAATTAATAATTTAAGAGTTATCAACAGAAAAATTGATTTTTTATTTGGGACACCCTGTCTATTTTTAATTAACTGAAAAGAACTTAAAATTACCTTTCCAAAAATATAGCACACTTGATATTTTGTTTTAATCCCCTTCGAAATACAGAATTTTTAAAAGTTTGCCACTTTTAACTAGTAGGCTTTGGACCCCTTATTGATGATATGCCCCTAATGGAACTCGAAAATATATTTTTCTAGCAAGACGAGGCATTGCCTCAGAACGCTGAAGTTACCAGCAAATTTTTGCAGCCAATTTCAAGAATAATTGAATAGCTAACCAAGATCCCAGCCCTTGGCCGTCGAGGCCGCCGGACTTAGTGCCGATGGATCTAATCCTATGAATATTTTTCTGGAAGAATAAAGTTTCTTACCTTTAAATTACGCGTATAATCTAGACAAGAATTAGAAATACTTAGCAGTTATGGGAGGGTTTCCTTCACCCCCACTAAGTTAATGGATTTCGCGAGAAATGTCCAAAAACGGCCCCGTCTGTCCATAACAGAAAACGGTTAATATGTCGAACACCTGTAGCAAAATCTCATGTCTTGGTTTGCTATTTATTTTTATTGTTATTAGATATAGTTTAAATGTGTTGTGATGTTCATTAAATATAGTTTAAGTTGTGACAAAATTCTGCATCTCTCATTGCAAATATTATTTTCGTTTTATTTGACGCTCACAGCTAGAATTTTTTTGCATTACAACCGGCGCCGTTCAAAGCCTACTTATTTAAGTGGGCGAATTTTTATAAACTCTATATCTCGAAGAGGGCTCAAAATATCAAGTGTGCTACATTTTTGAAAAGGTAATTTTAAATTATTTTCAATAAATAAAAACATACAGGGTGTCCCATATAAAAAATCAAATTTTCTGTTGATAATTCTTAAATTATTAATTAAAAAAATATAATTAAACCATTAAATTCTACGTAAAAAGGTGCTTTGGAAATGTTTTCATAAAAATACAAATTTTCCATAGCAAAAAAGTTACAACGATTTGTTAAAAATGCACATTTTTGAAAAACACCCCGTAACTCCGAAACGGTAACAGATATCGATATGCGGTTTTCACCATCATGTTTTTGATAAAAATTGAGCTCCAGACACCGATATTAGTTTTCGTCTATCTCCTATAGAAAAGGGTGTTTCGCTTTAAAAGCGTCCAATTTGGCCCACCCTGTACAGTAGTTTAAGTTTCGTTAAGTTAATTAATTTAGATTTAAGTCCCTTACCTGTAACAACTATTCTTTTGGTGTTTGTAAGGAGTAGTTTAAAATTAAAATTAAATTAAAAGTTGATTGTTTTATCTGTCATTTACCAGATGTTTTGTCAGACCCATATATACTCTCTATAAAAAATGTTTTATACATACCACCCTCCCTTCTAGGCCGACCACGGCCTCTTTTAATTGCAAGTGGTTTCCCAGTAAAATTAAATGGCATAGGAAAATCATCAACAGTGGGTGGAGATGAAGCAGCCGAAGTAGCTGCTGAAGCTGGGTCAGAAGATAAATGTTGAAAGGGTGAAGCTGCAGGATCATCGGGAATTTCATCTTCGTCATCATCTAAATCATAAGGTTCAGGTTCATCCAGATCCATTAATTCATCTGGATCTAAAGCTGAACTGATATCATCCATTATCTAGAATCTTAATTAAAACATATTAGTATTAACACTAAGTATTTAAAACTATTATTTATACTGTAAATATTTTAACTTAAGATTTTTCACCTTGGAGCAATGGGTATTATCATACTGTGTAACAACCTTATAGTGTAATAATGAGATTTAAACTCTTAGATCATTAAAATAGGTCCATTGTGGTGTAAATTTAATAAATAGGTAAATCTATAGTGAGGTTATGATAATATTTATTTTAGCCAAGTATTCTTAAGAGTTTAATTTAAAAATACATAAATATTATCTAAATATTTAAACTAATAATTTTAATAACTTAATATATTTGTAATGGAGTTTATCAAAAAGGCTCGTAATAAAAAGTTCTGAAGAAACAAGTATAGGCTAGTTCTTATATTTCTATGAAAAATTGCTTTAGAAAAAGTACAAATTAACTTATTTTCGAAATCGCCTAGACTAGGACTTGGTCATACTTGTTTTATAAACAATTTATTTGCCAAAATGAGACCCAAACGCCATGTCAACTGTCCACTTCGAAAATAACGATTACTAAGGCATTACAACATAAAGTACTATCTAATACTTTGAAAACAAACTTACTTTAGGTCATAATTATGTTTGATTAACAATAAGTTGAACAGAAAATGCACAAAAACCGAATTTACTTCTCATCCACACTCACAACACATCATACTATCCGCGATTAGCAATTTATGATAGATGAACGTAAACGTTAATGTAATTTGACAGATTATCTGCACTTGCTAAGTTTTTCCTTTTCTATTGCTAAAGTCCAATTGCAACAAATATACGCCCGAAATTGATTTTCTCTGGTTCTTTATCACGCGATGACATTTTGACAACAATCTAGGAAAAATGAAAGATGGCGGACACAAGCCGATATCGATAAAACAGAAAACTGGCGTACACTGTTGCGGCGTTGCCGTCTCTTTATCGCATCAGGGATGGTGCTGTAAGAAATTATAAAGATGAAAGGTAATAAATTTATCTGTAATAATCGTATTCAGAGAATAAGAACAGGGACATCGTATTATTTATATGGAAATCTGCCTATGTATACTCTGTTTTTTTTCTCAGGTAAGATTTCGACAGACGATAGACGATGACAGAAGAAAAGCAGATGACGTCCCATACCAATCTATTTATTTTACTCTTATTTTACTAAAAAAAGTTTCTAATATTTTTTAAGTTAACTATGGATGGGTTTAAATATAAATCCGTCATGCATCGTCTCTTGTTATTTTTAAACATTTTTATTGGTTTATTTCAAAAATATGACAGATCATATTTCAATTTAATTGGTTTGACGGAACGATGAACGACAAACGGACACCGATGCGTATGAAAACAGCTTTAGATTTTTATGCTTGTCAAAGTCTTGCCAAATTATAGGTTATAATTTTGTGTCAACTTATGTCAAATATCTGCGTTTTGGAAGATGATGCATTTTGATTCGTGTTATTACGTGTTTTGTGTCTTTTGAAGTCAAAAAACGTATTAAAATGTTAACAAAAGGCAAGGATACTATAGAGATAAGGATAGTTCGATTCCTATTTCTATTCCTGCACTGTCAGTTTTTTTACGTCATCTACTGACCGAGTTGAAGTTGGCGCTAAAGATTTTAGACAGTGACAGTTATTTATGCATTTGACGGACGAGCGCACAGTGCGTTGGAAGATAAATTTAGCGGGACAAAAGCGTTTGGGGTATACCGCGTTTGGTTAGAAATAAGGCAAAAAATGTGCATTGATAAGAATAGATAGTAGACATTCCAACTGATACAAAAATGCATGAATATTCTTTGTATTTCGATACATTTTTATCAACCAAATTTGGTCGTTTTCTGCTCAGCAAGGCATAGATCATACGAAAACAAAATATTTACAAGTGCTTATACATTTTATTAGAAAGCCAAATTATGTTGAAGATTGCCAAAGGTATGTACTTTTCTACTGTACTTATATTATTTGTTAAAATCCTTCGTGCTTTTGTTCTGCAGATTTTTTCAAGCAAAGCAAACTTGTGAAGTAAAGTGAAGCAAACTTTCACTTTTTTTTCAAATATCGATATATTATTGAATGATGTAGATCTTTTGAGTTACCAATAGTTACCAACACAGGTACTCACAGTCACAGGGAGTTCAAGCTTAACAGGTGAATGCCCAAAAAGATTCATTTCAATCGGACAGTATAAAAACAAAACAACTCCATCAAAAGGCACTGAGTTTAAAAAATTGTCTTAGATACTTCCTATATATGAATTTACAATTACCGAGTGTTAAAATTAAAATTAAAATATCTATCTTATTTACTATTTTCAAAATAAAATATATTTTTTTAAAATAAATTATAGAGGGTGTCACAAGATCACAAATTAATTAAAAAAAAACTGCTAAAGAGTTTTTTGATATCATAATTTTATGTATTTGGCAATAGTTTACAATACGGTTTTTGTGTGTCATGTACGAATAATATCATAGTTTTATTATCTTGTATTTATTTATTAATAAATTAAGTTGTTAATAAATAAATAAATTTAACCATATAGTTGCTATATATTAGACCATTTGCTACGTTCTTAGATTTTAAGTCCCAAACATTGCTCTTGAGATTTTGTCCCGCTGGAATAACCATCCGCCGCACTGTGGAGCGCTGGTCAGCGCGTGACGTAGCATTCCACGGCGCTACGACAGCGGCGATTTGACGCGATCGAACAACTTGTGTCTAGCCCTAGCAGGCAACTGTTAAGTCCGACCAATCACGTTAGGGTGCAGCCACACTATCCTAAAAACGGCGTATCGGCGTAACGGCGTAACGACCTTGAATCGATTTCCAGTAATTCTATTGGCTGAAATTTTTGACAGATGAATTTGACAGATAAAATTTCTGACAGATGAATGTTTCAGCCAATAGAATTACTGGAAATCTATTCAAGGTCATTACGCCGTTACGCCGATACGCCGTTTTTATGATAGTGTGGCTGCACCCTTAGAGTTTTTGACAAACACGAATGAATTAACACACTCCCAATAACCACGCTAACCTTTGAATAAGAAGACTAAGGAAGGAGCATATCTATGAATAAGAAGACTAAGGAAGGAGCATAATGCTATCCATGTATTCATGCATGGTGGGCGGAAAAGCCACCATAAAAGCTCTCTAGGGTGGGGATCCTTGACAGTTCTGTTTGACGATTCATTTGACACATTTGAATTTGATTTGAAATTTTGTGGATTTGTCAGTCTTTACGGAGCTTATTTTATGTTATTTATTATTTATTCTACTACTGATAGTTGTATAAAAGGTAGTAAATCTAGATGGAAATTGTGGCAGAACTTAAATTAACAGTGACACTATCGCGATTTATCGAAAAAGACTCTAAAATAGTTGGTTGTGTAGCGTGCGGTAGATCTCGGCAAAAATTGAGTGAAATAATGGAACAACTTTTCGCTAGTAAGTGACTATATAATATACATACGTGTAGTAAACCGATCATTTATGAAATTCACTTAAATTAACTAAATTATATATTTTTCTTGCATTTTAGCTTTTACTTATTACTTGTCAAAGATTAGATGTCAAAAGAATTTAGATACGTTAATTTGACTTACCTGCTTCAGTAGCGTATCGGATGTTTGTGGTAATAAATACTTATTATAACTTATCTATTTTTATTAGAATTATATATTTTTATAACAATTTTAATAACTACCAACAATTATTCCCAACGTAAAATAAAACAACAAATTATTGAGTCTACCCCACGTCTACCCTACATCATAGTTTTACATTTTTTAATTAAAATTAAAACGACACTGATAAACCAAGGATAAACCGGAATTTAAGTCGGCCACATAAAGTAACACCAAGGTATACTTTATGGTCGGCCATATTTGAGGCCCATCGCTGTGTACCTAAGATTTTTGATATGCTCCTTTGAATAAGAAGACTAAAGCCCCGTTCTCAGAACTGCGTCGTGTCGACAGCGACACTGATTGACACTTCAAACGACCAATGGGAGCTGTACTAAATTTAAAATTGACAGCTGTTTGAATTTTGTACAAATCTGATTGGTTCTTTTGTCGTGTCGCTGGCGACAGTCGCAGTTCTGAGAACGGGGCTTAAGGAAGGAGCATATCAAAAATCTTAGGTGCACCGCGATGGGCCTCAAATATGGACGACTTAAATTCCGGTTTATCAGTGTCGTTCTAATTTTATTTAAAAAATGTAAAACTATGATGTAGGGTAGACGTGGGGTAGACTCAATAATTTGTTGTTTTATTTTACGTTGGGAATAATTGTTGGTAGTTATTAAAATTGTTATAAAAATATATAATTCTAATAAAAATAGATAAGTTATAATAAGTATTTATTACCACAAACATCCGATACGCTACTGAAGCAGGTAAGTCAAATTAACGTATCTAAATTCTTTGACATCTAATCTTTGACAAGTAATAAATAAAAGCTAAAATGCAAGAAAAATATATAATTTAGTTAATTTAAGTGATTACAGTTGAGGGTTGGAACCTTTGGTGTTACACAGCAAAATAAAAACACTAAATCACCACAATTGGTTTATAATAAACTGGTTTATAATCATCTGCTGATGATGCTAACATGGTTAGCGAAACGCGCGTCCAGTGTAAAAGTAAAAGTGTTTTGGTGTATTGTGGTGATTTAGTGTTTTTATTTTGCTTAATTTAAGTGAATTTCATAAATGATCGGTTTACTACACGTATGTATATTATATAGTCACTTACTAGCGAAAAGTTGTTCCATTATTTCACTCAATTTTTGCCGAGATCTACCGCACGCTACACAACCAACTATTTTAGAGTCTTTTTCGATAAATCGCGATAGTGTCACTGTTAATTTAAGTTCTGCCACAATTTCCATCTAGATTTACTACCTTTATACAACTATCAGTAGTAGAATAAATAATAAATAACATAAAATAAGCTCCGTAAAGACTGACAAATCCACAAAATTTCAAATCATATTCAAATGTGTCAAAAGAATCGTCAAACACAACTGTCAAGGATCCCCACCCTAGAGAGCTTTTATGGTGGCTTTTCCGCCCACCATGCATGAATACATGGATAGCATTATGCTCCTTCCTTAGTCTTCTTATTCAAAGACGCTAACCAACCTGATTGATCAAGCTTAATAGTTGACTGCTAGGACTAGACAATTCTGATCGAACAGTCCTTTAGAATATATACAGTCAATGCCTTCTATAAAAGATCAGCCCACGGGCGGACTTTTGTTTATATACTTCATCAGCTGTACATACTTAGATATTGGGTTAGATTCTGTATTCATAATTTGTCGGTTGATTTTTGGTATTATTTCTTATTGTAGTACAAAAAACTAATTATTTTGGTGTTTAAGTGACATAAACTACTACCAGATATATGGTCACTATGATGGTCACTCTGTTTCTCATAAAAAAAACACGAAATATTACACGTTTTGTTAAGTACTTTAACCTAAAAGTGCCCATAAATTTTTTATTTATCGTGATTTTTGTGTGTGTGTTTTAACACTCTAACAATTCATCAATAAAGCTTAAGTGGAGTGTGTTTTTGCTATACCTCATCTTTGTTGTGTTCCTGGTGGAAAGGATAGTTATACTAGGCAGCCTAAAGTGTCCGGAAGAGCAAGAAAAGTGGGTACGAGTTATAAATCAAGAGAATTCTATTGAAAATATCTTTAATAAATTTAAAAATAATATTCTTCCAGGATGGTATTAAAGAAAACTGGACAATTATGTTTATTTTATTCATATTGTGGAATCTTTACTCAAAGTGTTGTTGGTTCAGCTTCGATAGA